CCTCCTGCCTCGGCCTCCCAGAGTGCTAGGATTATAGGCGTGAGCCACCGAGCCCGGCCAGATGTTCTTTAATAGGTAAATGAATAAACTGTGATACATCCATACAATGGATTATTATTTAGTGATTAAAAAAAAAATAAGCTATCAAGCCACAAAAAGAGAAACAGGAACCTTGGATGAATAGTGCTAAGTGAAAGAATCCAATCTGAAAAGGCTACATACTGAATTATTGCAACTATATGACATTTTGGAAAAGGCAAAACTATGGCGATAATAAAAAGATCAGTGGTTGCCAGGGGTCAGGAAGAGGAAGGGAGAGAGGGATAAATAGGTGGAGAACAGGGGTTTTTAGGACAGTGAAACATTCTGTATGTTAACATAATAGTGATACATGTCATCACACATTTATCAAAACCCACAGAATGTGTATAACACAGTGAGTGAACCCTAATGCAAACTATGAACTATAGCTAATAATAACTTCATATTAGTTCACTGATTATAATAACCAGTGTACCACATTAATGCAACATGTTAATAGTAGTGGAAACCCTGTGTGAGGGTGTATATTGGAGGAGGTATGTGGGAATTATCTGCACTTTCTGCTAAATTTTGCTGGAAACGTAAAATTGCACCAAAAAATAAAGTCTAGTAAAAACAAAAAAACAAATATAAAAATTCCAGCAACATTAAAAATATGTATGTAACCTGCAAACATAACTAAGTTAGACTGACATTAACAGTATACTCTGTATGACTTCATTTATATAAAGTTTAATCAGCAAAACAAAACAAAACAAACAATGCCAGGCATTGTAGCAAGCATGTGTGTTCCCAGCTACTCAGGAGGCTGAGGTGGGAGGATCACTTGAGCCCTGGAGTCCAAGACCAGCCTGGGGCAACATAGTAAGACCTTATTTCTTTTACTGAACAAAAACAAACTACCATGCCATGGCACTCTAGCCCGGGCAAAAGAGTGAGACTCTGTCTCAAAAAAAAAAAAAAAAAAAAAAACTACCGCTGAAAAGCCTATGTTCTTTCCAATACAATATGCTGCCCAGGAGGCTGCCTGTGGGTAAAGCAAAAGTTATGTTCTACAAACTGTTCATAATTCTTAATTGTTGTAATAATTCTCATATTAATCAGTAAATTTTAAGAGGAAAAAAAGACAGTAACTAGCCTAGTAGTTCTGCACGCCCCTGCGTCCTTGCCACAGTAGGACTACTCTCTTTTAGTAGAGATGGGGTCTCACTCTTACTCAGGCTTGTCTCGAACTCCTGACCTCAAGCAATCCTCCTGCCTCGGCCTCTCAAAGTGCTAGGATTACAGGAGTGAGCCACTGCGACCAGTCCTCACAACATTCTTGAGAGTTGGGTCAACAAGGCAGATTTTGTAATTACTATTTCACTGAAGCAATGCACTGTCTCCTGGTAGCAAAAATCACAAACAGGCTCTGGGATTGGTCTCTTCTTAGGTACTTTGTAAGTTAGGTAGTGTGTAAGTTAAATAACACAGGCAAGTTTTTTTAACTTCTAGGGCTCAGTTTCCTTGTCCATAAATGGATATGCCTGTACCTGCCTTCGATGACTGAGGAAAGAGCATGGAATGAGACAGAGCACGTAAAGCAATTCACATGGTGCCTAGCGAGGTTAGGGCCAGCAAGAAAGAGCAACAAACTGGAAGGCAGACTTTTCTCAAGAGCTGGCAACACAGTACCAACAAGCAAGCCCCTTTCTTTCATGTTGTGGGTTTCTCCTCAGGAGCCTTTAAACACTAAGAAATCAATCTGTGCTCCCCCAAACTGCCAGTCTACAAGGTTCTCTGTCATGCTTCCTCTTAGATGTCTTGAAAACCTAACTACATTTGTATATTATTCTAGTTAGACTTCTTCAAATAGTTATTTTGTGTTAATGCAGGGGAGAAGGAAAAGAAAAGCTGTATGTTAGCACCAGACTTTGTTTTGGATAAATTACTTTTATTTTTATTTTTTGAGAGAGAGGATCTCACTCTGTTGCTCAGGTTGGTCTCGAACTCCTGGCCTCAAGCGATCCTCCCACCTCAGCCTCCCAAGTAGCTGGGATTACAGGCATGAGCCACTGTGCCTGGCTGGATAAATTACTTTTATGAAAACCATCATATGTTTACTTTAGCAAAAAGAAAAGTGTTAACATAAATGCTTTGTGATTAAAAAAATGGGAGCGGGAATGGTGGCTCACGCCTGTAATCCTAGCATTCTGGGAGACTGGGGAAGGAGGATTGCTTGAGCCCAGGAAGTTTGAGGCTGCAGTGAGCTACAGATGACGCACTCCATTCCACTCAGGGTGACAGAGTGAGACTCTGTCTCAAAAAAAATAAATTTAAATAAATAAAATGAAATAAATAAATAAATAAAAAATAAATGGCTGTAAGATAATTACCAAATACTGTACCAGAAGTTTCTCTACATGAGAGGGTTATGAATGACATTTGTTTTCTTATTTTATTTTCTAAGGTGAACATGTAAGTCTCTGCAATTAAAAAAGTGTGTATTTTAAAACTCACTATATAGCTAAAAGAAAAGTTTCTTACTTTAACCTTTTGCTTGTCATTTTACTAATTTAATTAACCAGCAATCATCCAATGGGAACACAGCTCAAACATGTTCCTGTGAAGATATTTCCTACCTTTTGAATACACAGGAAAATATAGTAGAGCACATCTGGATCATAGGGTTCACCTTCCCCATTTCGAGCTTCCCGCGTCATTAGACAGAGCCCATAATTCAACTCTGCCACAGCAGAGGAGATTAGATCCTCCTGGAAGCGTAGCAGTTGGCGCCCTGCAACGGAAGCCCCAAAAGTGAATGGAGGTCCTGGCAATAGTCATCTCTTTACTGGTTACCCACATTCCTGCAAGAAGGGCTCAGAGCAGACACTGCCCATCACGGTGCTGGGATAGAAATGGTCACTTTTATCTACGTTCAGAACTGGTCTACTAAAGCAGTAATCTCAAATGCTCTATTACACCAAGGGTTTCCTTTCCACAATCCTCCCAGCTTACATATCCCCCAATTATTACTAGGGCCAAGAAATAAAAGCAGAAAAACAGAATACACCTTCTGTAATGTGAGCAAGTATTCGCACCTACTGCCAAGGAAGAAGGACACTGAGAGCACAATCACTGGTCTCTATTTTCTCCCAGGAGCCATTCTGCCCAGGTTTGTTTGTTCAATTCCAGAAACCCATGTGTCCAAAAATGCCTAATCTTGGCAAACCCCACAGGTCCTTCTCATCTGCACAGGGTCAGGCATACTTGTTGCTTGTCTTGAATTCAACATACTATTTCAGATGGTACCCTCTAGTCCCCAGGGCCAGGAAACACCACCTTTCTGCTATTCTTTTCCTTGTTACTTCAGTACCATTGTACTTTAGACAGAACCCACGCTTCGCCTGCCCCAACACTCACTCCCAATGGGTGCCAATCGGTTCTGAGCATCCTTTTCTAGTTCAGCGTTCTTGGTTTGGGCCCAGTTTTTCCATACTTCAAGTCCTTCCTCTGGCTTCAAAGAATTTGGAAGCAGAAGTTCTGGGGAAGGCTGTGGCTGTGACTGTGGTTCGACTTCAGCAACTTGGACAGTTTGAGCCTATGAGAGAGAAATTATCAAAATGTGTCAGTACTATTTACATTTGGTCCTTCTGCAAAACTGCCAGAAAAATGTTACTTATAGTTCACTTAATAATTAAATAAATATATATATCTCGCCGGGCCTGGTGGCTCACACCTATAATCCTAGCACTCTGGGAGGCTGAGGTGGGAGGATTGCTTGAGCTCAGGAGTTCAAGACCAGCCTGAGAAGAGCAAGACCCCATCTCTACCAAAAATAGAAAAATTAGCTGGGCACTGTGGCACACACCTGTAGTCCTGGCTACTTGAGAGGCTGAGGCAGGAGGAAAATCTCTTTTCCTTGCTGTCCTACTTTCAAGAAGCTTTAGAGTTCTACTTCTTTCCCCAGGGATAGCAAAAGCAGCACTGCAACAGGGTTTTTTAGCCCTGGCTGCATTTTTTAATCTCTTATTTAAAAACATCAATACCCAGGCTTACTCCAGAATCTCTTTCTGGGGTAGAGCCCACGTACTAGTCTTTTAAAAACTCTCCAAGCATAAAGGTAATTCTAACGTTTAGTCACCACTGAGAACTACTGGCTCAAAGCATTGATTGCTCCCTTAATCTTTAATGTGCAAGCAAATCAGCATATGCTGATTGAAAAGGTCTGGGGTAGGACCCGAGACCCTGCATTTCTAACAAGCTCCCAAGTGACACCAAGGTTGCTAGTCTGCAGGTTACATTTTGAGTACCAAATGTCCAGAGCAGTGATTTTTTTTTTTTTTTTTTTTTGAGACAGAGTCTTGCTCTGTCGTCCTGGGTTAGAGTGTAGTGGCATCATCATAGGTCACTGCAACCTCAAACTCCTAGGCTCAAGCAATCCTCCTGCCACAGCCTCCTCAGTAGCTGGGACTACAGGTACACAACACAACACCCTGCAAATTTTTTTCTATTTTTAGTAGAGACAGGGTCTCACTCTTGCTCAAGCTGCTCTCGAACTCCTGAGCTCAAACAATCCTCCCGCCTAGGCCTCCCAGAGTGCTAGGATTACAGGCATGAGCCACTGCGCCTAGCCAGAACAGTGATTCTTAAACTTGATTGCACCTTAAAATCATCTGGACTGCTTTTAAAAATTACCCATGCCTGGGCCTTATCCCCAGATTGTGATTAAACTAGACTAAAGTGGAGGCCTAGCATCAGTGTTTTTATCAGGTGATTCTAATGTCCAGCCATAATTGAGAACCATCATTTAGAAGGAAAAAAAGCAAAACAAACAAGTGGTGTCCTCTCCCCACCATTGTAAAATGAGAGGTAAGATTTGAAGATCTTTATCACTTCTCCAGCTGTAACATTCTAATTTTTTCATTTTCCTTCTGAAATAATACTCTCTGATTTGTAAGAACATAATCCATTTTCTGAAGACAGGAGGTACTACTCCTGCCTCCAAAGGAAGAGTGGTCTATCATCAAGGGTCTGACAGGCAAGCCATGAAGACAAGGGGCAGAGAATATCTGTCTCAATCACAAACCCCAAAGGTTTGGACAGACACCAACACAGATACTAAGTACAGGTTCTTGGGTCTTACACACCTGTCTACATTCTCTGTACAAATCGCCTTGAGCAATCCCCCATGCCAGGGCCTACACCTCCTTTACCCAAAGGGCTAAGGAATGTCGAAAGTCATTCAAATTGAAGGCAAAATAATTTATACATAAAACACAAGTTTGTTCACCAACAAATAAAAACAATACTATTATCTTTGATAAGATATATTATTAAACAGTGAGATAAAGCAACACAGTGTTTTTGGCATTATGTATCAAGACTCAAGAAAATGTTTACATGTTTTGAATTGGGACTCTATCCTAGGGAAACCATCAAAAAAGAGCATATACTTTATACATCCAGATATTCTGTAAAGTTGTTTACATTAGGAAAAAAACCTAAAATAATATAAATGTCCAATAAAGGGGGACTGGTTTGGCAAATTATACTATATCCATCCAAATGGACTGCAAAACCAAGGCTAGAAATAACATTTTCATATGTTATTTATATGATTAAGTAAAAAGGACAGGACACAAAAATGTACAGTAAGTATAAAGACAACCATGTATATAAACCTGATTTCTCCTCTGTCAAACTATAATAGAGTGGTGAATGTATGAATAATATTAAAATACTTCTTACTTTTCTATGTTCTCTAACATTTCTATAATGGAAGAATAACTCAAATGCTCCTTTTTTTTTTTTTTAACAAGAACTTTGGTATGGGTTTTATGTAACTATTAAAGAAAAGTGTTACAAAATCTGAATAGGCAGAAACAGGAAGAAATAAATCCCATCTTTACATAAAATTAGGTCCACAACTTATTTTGATTACATGGGGTTCTAACCAAGGTCTACAACTGATGCTTAGTAAACCAGCTTTCATTCTCTGCACCTGACAAGAGCAGCACTTCCTCCTTGTAAAGTCCACCCCAGACTTCATGGCTACTTGGCCAGAGACATACAAGATTAATACAAACTTATAATGAGTATTTATATAAATAGGTTAGTTACCACCTAATCTTAAAGATTCTAATAGATCTTTATACCCTCAAATATTAAAACTCCAAGGTTAAGACTTTCAATTTCCTTCAGGTTGGGCTCTGATTTTAAAGGGAGTGAACTTAGTTACTCCCTTTTAACATGTCTTCCAAGAATGTGCTTAGACTCCCAAAGGTAATGAAAAACAGCAAGAAATCAGTTCAAATCATGCAAAATCCCTAATTTCTCTTATTCATTGATTCAACAAATGTGTGTGCAAAGCTTTGTGTTAGGCCCAGGAATATAGAAATGCATTAAACCACTGGCTGGGGCAAAGAGCTGATTCGACTGGCAGTGAGGTAAAGAAAATCTGTGGCATCAATTTTTCCCCTTGACTCCACTGGCTAATCCAGTAGTCACCAAAAGAAAAACATTACTTGAACCACATCTCTGAAATAGTTCCATTAACTGCCAACCATCATGCCCTCTGACACCTACCTAGCAAAGGCCAGGAAGGCAGCTAAGCTCAGGGCCAGAGGAACCGATAGTCCCACAAGCCTCTCAGAGTGAGTTATGCAGAAGTCCCCTTCTCCCCCTGCACACAGGCAAAAGCCTTCCTTTACCCAATCAATAAGCACTTACTCAGCTATTCCAGCACCATATCTTTCCCCCACTTTTATTATACTGAAAAGTTTGCCACCAGTTACTATCTTGGTGAAACCCAAGTCTACTATAGCCAGGTTTTGGTGTTCTTGCTTTTTATTCTACGTTTGACTTGAGGACTCATTCTCGCCTGAGTTCTGTAGACCTTTGATCCCCATGTTGCACTGAGGGCTCCAATCACTATTCTGACTACCTCAGAAATAAATTCTCTCTTCTTGGTTACCCTGTTGGTAGCCACCACCACTACCACCACTCCTTGAACCCCCCAGTCAAAAATACACGAAATGAAAGGGTTACATGCAATGCATACATGGCCCCAACCTATGGGACCTTTCTGGCAGTCACAACTTTCTCCTTTGCAGTCTGCTAAGCTTCCTGACACCACACTCTCCTGGATCTCCCTAGGCTATCCAGCATCTTTCTCTATCTGCCTTGCATTTGTCTCTGTCAGACCCTGAAACGTTTGTCAACTCTGAAGCTCCACTCTAGACCCATTTCTCATTTTAACTACACATTCTCCCTGGTGAGTCTCACCCACATTGCCAGTTTGGGTTTCCATACTTGTGGAACTGACTGCCAACTGTGTGCCTCCAAGTGAGACTCCCTCCAACTTGTTTTTTTTTTTTTTGAGACAGAGTCTCACTGTGTTGCCTGGGCTAGAGTGCCGTGGCATCAGCCTAGCTCACAGCAACCTCAAACTCCTGGGCTCTCCGCCTCAGCCTCCCGAGTAGCTGGGACTACAGGCATGCGCCACCATGCCCGGCTAATTTTTTCTATATATTTTTAGTTGTCCAATTAATTTCTTTCTATTTTTAGTAGAGACGGGGTCTCGCTCTTGCCCAGGCTGGTTTTGAACTCCTGAGCTCAAACAATCCGCCCGCCTCGGCCTCCCAGAGTGCTAGGATTACAGGTGTGAGCCACCACACCCGGCCCCTCCAACCTGTTTTTTCAGAGATAGGGTATCACCCTGTCACCCAGGCTGGAGTGCAGTGGCATGATCACAGCTCCCTGTAACCTTGAACTACTGGGCTCAAGCAATCCTCCCATCTAAGCCTCGAAGCAGCTAAGACTACAGGCACACACCACCATGCCTGGCTAATTTTTTTATGTTTTGTAGAGATGGGGTCCCATCATGTTGCCTGGGCTGGTCTCAAACTCCTGGGCTCAAACAATCCTCCAAGCTCGGCCTCCCAAAGTGCTTGGATTACAGGTGTGATCCAGCACACCCAGTCTAGACTTCCCCTTAATACACCCAGTGGCTCATGTGCATCTCCAACTGAACATCTCATAGCCACCTCAAACTAACATCTAGAGAGAGAACTCATCACTTTCCCAGCCTGCACCTATTCTCTCCAGAGTTCCCTTCCTACCTGTTCAATAGCAATACCATCTGCCCAAGCTGGAAATCTAGGAGTCTGAATGGACAAGTAGGCAGACGCCAGAGCATGTGGGGCAGTGCTTCTCTACTGGCTTTTTAGCAGGCCCCCTTCAGTATGGGCTTCCACTCACCAAATGTGAGTAACATCCCCAACATTTTGACAACCAAAAATTCCTCTACATGTGTCCAAATATCTATCAGTGGGTGGGGGTGGCAGTGATATAACTCAGATTGAAATCTACTGATGTAGGGTATTGTACACTGTGGTGTAAAGTTGTTCCTACATGTAATGGGAGCCTGTGAAGAGTTTTAAGCTAGGAAGTGACATAACCTTACATTTTAAGATTATTCTTGCTGTTCTATGGAGAATGAATTATAGAATAAGAGTGGAATCAAGTGCTGGTGACTGAGACTAAATTAGTACCAGTAAAGATGATGTAAGAGATTTTGAAAAGTTTGGTGATAGAACCAATATGGCTTGTTAATGAACTGGCTGTGAGGATTAAGGGAAAGCAGACACAAGGATGACTCCTGGGTTTCAGGCTTGAACAACTGGGTAGATGATAGTGCTACTTTCTTAGGGAATTTTTTGATAGAGATGGAGGTGGTGCTAATGAAGAGCTATCAGCAATAAACCCAAATAAATGCTAAGTAGGCAGTTGAATGTGTGGGAAGAAGGGTCCTAAGGGGAAAGGCATGGTCCAAAGACTTAAACCCATGAGTCAGTGCAGCACAGGGGTTAAGACAGGCTCCAGAGCCAGCCTGTCCAAGGTTGACTGAACTGAATCCCAGTTCTCCTACTGACTAATCATGGCTTTGGCCTTGTCGCTTAATCTCTCTATGCCTTAGTTTCCTCATCTATAAAATGGAGATATTAGTATATACCTCCCAAGGTTGATGTGAAAATTAAATGAGTTAATATATGTAAAACATGAAGAATAGTACCTGGCAGATAGTAAGTATCACTGATTATCATCTTCAGCAGCAGCATGAGTCATCTAGAGGATGCTGAAAATGATGGCAATGGACAGAAATCCCTTAGAGAGAAAAGAGGGCCAGTACTGAACCCCAAATCCTGAAGAACATCAACATGTACGGTTTGGAAAGAGGAGACGGCACAAACAAAGGCTCCTGGGAAGGAAGAAGAATCAGACTGGTAGGAGCAAAGCCAGGAGTGTGTAATAACATTGAAGCCCAAAGACAAGAGCTTCGATGAAGTAGGTATGGTCTGTTATGTTGTGTGTTGCTATGAGATGAAAACAGGCATGATTATTTGATCTGGCCACAGGGAGGTCACTGCTGACTCTGACAAGAAGAGATTCATTCATGAGTTGAAAAGAAGACTGGATAGCAAGTGAAGCCAGCTGTGCAGATAATGCTTTTGAGAGTTCTGGAAATAAAGTAGAACAAAGAAATGTGGCAATAGATGGAGGTGGATGCAAAGTCAAGGGAGAGAGGTTTCACCATAAATCTGGTTTCAAAGATAGGCGATATAAGGGTTTTCATAAAGGGGATAGCCCTCCTCAACCCATGGCAAATGAAGGAACACTTTTGTCACCAGCTCTCTTTTAGGTTCAACTAATATCACAGCACGACTGTATTCTCCATGGACTGTAAGTGGTCCCAGGGTGGAGGAGACTATCTTATTCATCTCTGTTCCCCAGAACCTAGCACAGAGCCTGATAAGGAAGGCAGAGCGATGTTTGTGGTATATACAGACAAACTCATCTTTCCCTCATGATGGGTAGTCTCAATTTTTCTATTCCTGGTTATAGAACTTGACATAAATCCCAGAGGAGACACAGCCTCTGAAAAACATGGGCCCACTAAAATTAACTCCAGAATGGTCTCTTGCTGGAAGGCCCAGACAAGCAAATTACAAACAGATACCAATAAGCACCAAAAGAGGTCCTGACCTATACTGGACTACCCAGGGCAAGCAGGAGAGATGAGTGGAGGCCTAATAGGCTCCATCTCTGTGAAAAAAGGCTAAGCACAGAGCCCCATTACCAATATCCTGGCTGGTCTCTCCTATATGCAATCAATTCTACACACCTCTACTTGACTCCTTTTGTTACCATGACTCTTAAGATACCTAGGAAATGCGGCCGGGCGCGGTGGCTCACGCCTGTAATCCTAGCACTCTGGGAGGCCGAGGCGGGTGGATTGTTTGAGCTCAGGAGTTCGAGACCAGCCTGAGCAAGAGCGAGACCCCGTCTCTACTAAAAATGAAAGAAATTAATTGGACAGCTAAAAATATATAGAAAAAATTAGCCGGGCATGGTGGCGCATGCCTGTAGTCCCAGCTTCTCGGGAGGCTGAGGCAGTAGGATCGCTTGAGCTCAGGAGTTTGAGGTTGCTGTGAGCTAGGCTTACGCCACGGCACTCACTCTAGCCAGGGCAAGAGTGAAACTCTGTCTCAAAAAAAAAAAAAAAAAAAAAAAGATACCTAGGAAATTACAGATTTCCTACCACCGGGGAAGACAGCACCTCCACCCTCATACTAAATCTTCTCCCACAGTCCCCCTCTCACGTTGCCCATTCTGTCTATCCCCGGCTATGTATTTATGCTGCTCCACCCTCTGTCAATCTAAACTACAGTTCAAATCCCACTTTTTGCACAGATGTGTCTGCTGACTTTTTATCCTACAATTTCTAAGTTCCCAGAAGTGTGACGCAATGTCACACTTCATTATGCTGTCTTAGGAACAGAAATCCTAAGTTTGTACTCTCACAGCAAGACTCTAAGCTATCTGAAGAAAAGACTAGTTTTAGGCCTAATAGCTAGATATTTAGTAGGTCCTTAACAAAGTCACCTAGGATAATATATTGTTGCCTCATGAAACCACTTAGCCTTTGCTTAGTTAATCATTTATGGCCAAGCTGGCTGTGGTGGCACATGCCTATAGTCTCAGCTACTTCAGAGGCTGAAGGAGGATTGCTTGAGCCCAGGAGTTCAACTCCAGCCAGGGCAACATAGCAAGACCCCCCACCTCTAAAAATTAAAGTTAAAAATATCAATATCTAGGCTGACGCCACGGCACTCTAGCCCGGGCAACACAGTGAGACTCTGTCTCACGGAATAAATAAATAAAAAAAAATAAAAATTAAAAAATATCATTTATGGCCTGCGTTTCTGAATATAGTAGTCCTTCATCTAAACTTGTTTATGCCAGCTCCCTCACATGCCTTCCCAGGACTCTATGATCACTGAGGCACATCACCTTCATCAGTCCCATGAAACCATAGGCCCTATATCCCACTCTAAAGGGGCTGGAAACTTTACCAATAATTCTTTTTTCTTTTTTTATTGAGACAGTGTCTTGCTCTGTTGCCCAGGCTAGGATGCAGTGGCATCATCATAGTTCACTGCAACCTTAAACTCCCAGGCTCAAGCAATCCTCCTGCCTCAGCCTCCCAAGTAGCTGGGACTATAGGCATGTACCACCATGCCCAGCTAATTTTTTTTTTCTCTTTTTTTGTAGAGACAGAGTCTTGCTCTTGCTCAGGCTAGTCTAGAACTCCTGGCCTCAACAATGCTGCCATCTGGACCTGCCCAAATGCTAGGATAACAGGTGTGAGCCACCATGCCTGGCCACTAATAGTTTTAATAGATTAATCTACCAACACCTCTGTGATATCCTTAAAATTAATAATTAGAAAAGGTAAGAGCCAAGTAATTTTAAAATTAAAATTTCGGCATATTTCTACTTCTACTTCTGCAAATCTAAAATATTTCAGGCTGGGCACGGTGGCTCACGCCTGTAATCCTAGCACTCTGGGGGGCCGAGGTGGGTGGACTGCTCAAGGTCAGGAGTTTGAGACCAGCCTGAGCAAGAGCGAGACCCTGTCTCTACTAAAAATAGAAATAAATTATTTGGACAACTAAAAATCTATATAGAAAAAATTAGCTGGGCATGGTGGCGCATGTCTGTAGTCCCAGCTACTCGGGAGGCTGAGGCAGTAGGATTGCTTGAGCCCAGGAGTGTGAGGTTGCTGTGAGCTAGGCTGACGCCACGGCACTCACTCGAGCCAGGGCAACAGAGTGAGACTCTGTCTCAAAAAAAAAAAAACAAATAAATAAAATATTTCAAAACAAAAAGTTAAAAAATTTTTCAACATAGATGCCATGTCGGAAAACCCAGTTAACCAAGGTTCATCCTATTGTCAAGGAACATGAAAACCCCAGTGATGGTCCCACTGCATAGGTGATTTATTCAAAGCACCCAAAGTTGATCACTTTTAACAGGCCCACTAGTAAGAGGTTATTTTTTGATCTTCTAATTCACTTACACTGTGTCTGAAGATGAAAAATAGAAAAGGAACAATCTCATAGCCTCTCAACCTTGATGAGTTTACAACCTGTGTGGTAGTCTACCAGGGTTCCACTAGATGTATTCACTTGTGATGCAAGTAGTAGCTTCTCGGATGTGGATTACACTTGAGGTGTTCCATTAGTCTCCACCTATAATGTTATTACTCTTCCTAAGAAGAGATTACAAAGTGCCCTAGGCACTTTAACTCGAACACTCTCTCCAAAACCCCAAAGCTGGTCATTTCATTTATCTCCAAGTACCAGGATAAACCTTCTACTGTTGCATAGCCTTGTCTGCTCCTTCTCCTCTTCTTCTCCCAAATACTAAATACTTTATCACTGTAAGACTAATATCATGGCAGTAAACAAGCCAGAGGTTGCCAGGCAAGTTCTGTGTTGCACTGGTCCCTGAGGGAGCAGGCTGCCCTACACATAAGTCTCACTTACTGAACAAGTAACCTGGAGCTGCTGCTGCTGCTGTGGTGGTGGCGTCTGTTCCTGGGGAGTTTGCTGCTGCGGCTGCTGCTGGGGGTCCCATATATGGACAGTCTGAGCCGTATTCTGGTACGTGCCTGCTACAGCCTGCACAGCCACTGGAATGTGGATGTTGCCATTCATGAACTGTGCTGGAAAGAGAGAGTTTGCAAGGGTCTGCACTACCTCTTCATGGGAGTTTTTCACTACAGACGTGGTGCCCACCATCTTCTCCTTGTCATCCTCCAGCTTTACAGCCGCCAGGGCCGTGGGTGAGCCACTGACGTGAACTGCGTTGTAGGCTTCCTGGGGAATGGCAATGTGGGTAATGCTCTGCTGCTGAGGGTCCCCCCGGGGCTGGGCAGAATAAACAGGGATGGTCCAGGTTTCTCCTGTAGGGCTAGTAATGGTCCCAGTGGCACTGTACAGGTGGGCACTGTCTACTGTCAATAAGTCTGGCCTCAAAGACACATAACTCTGCTGCTGGCCCTGTGGAATGGCCAGCACGGTGGCCACTGGCTGCCCTGAGATGGCGTAGGACACAGTGATAGGCATGTCCACTTTGCGCTTCTTCACTGGCTGGAGGACACTTGCTGTGCCAACCCGCCGCTCCCCTTCCCGAGGTGAGCCCTGTTGGGATGGTGGTGGGGAAAGGGCACCCACGGTCTGGATTTGAATCTGCTGACCCCCAGCAAGAGACTGGCCAGCCACCAGCTGAGCCTGGATTTGCTGATGTGGGATATGCTCCTCCGGGATTTCTGCAGCCTGGATCTGCTGGGCTGCCTGCACGTGCTGCATCTGGATCTGGGCTGCTTGTAGCTGCGAGGGACTGGGGCTCTGCAGAGACGGGGTCTGGATGGAAGGGGCTGCTGACTGCGGTGCCTGGCCCTGGATCTGCACCTGGACCTGGATGGGCTGCTCAGCAGGCTGGTGAACGGTGAGTTGCGGGGAGAGCTGCTGAGCGGAGACTTGCTGCGGAGACTGCTGTACCTGCACCTGTACCTGCAAGGGACAAGATTCACCAGTAAGTAAGCCAGGCAGCATTAAGAATCCAGCCCCCAAGGGAAGAAGAGATCTCAGGCAGGGGCCCTGTGTAAATATGAGGAAGAGGGGCTGCCATACTCAAGGTTTCTGAGGAAGCCACAAACCCTAAAACCAAATGCAAAATTCTCCAGCAACACGCGACACTCACAGTGATATATATCCACCCCAAGAGCAAGCAAGACAACCAACCAGGGTCTAAGAAGAAAATATCACAACTTTTGTTCATTTTTAACTCTTCTTTGAAAAGGCACCTCTTTGTTTTTTTCGCACTGGTATACTAGTACAAGTACACAATTTATATATTAAGGGGTATGTTCAAGAAATATTTTATCCATGGGGTGAGAGATAAAAAGTGTTGGGACCACTGTTCTAGAATGTCAGAGAAACAAGTATATTCCACAGGCATTCAATTTCCAACTGCCCAACTTAGGATCAAAACTATCTCCCACCATGAAGAATGAGTAGAAAACACAGTAGAGACAAATCTCATTAAATCTCTGGTGTCACTTCTAACTACTCTGCTTAAAACACAGGCACTATTGCATGATTCTTTAGAATGCTTATTTAAGATATCTTTGTTTTAATAAGGAAGGCATTAATAAAACACAGAACGCCAATAATTTAATCCGAGCAATGTTACTATATCCTAGATAACACATTTATTTATTTTTAAGAGATGGAGTCTCACTATGTTGCCCAGGTTTGTCTTCAACTCCCAGCCTTAAGTGATCTTCCTGCCTCAGCCTCCCAAGGAGCTGGGACTATAGGTGCAAGCCACCATGCCCAGCTGGATCACACATTTCTGATAACAATGTAGCTCTTGTCTTATTACTGTTATTCTAGCATGCAAAACAGCATGAAAAGATGCTATACATAGTATACAATAAAAGTTTTTCCATCAGACACATATGTAAATTACCCTAACCATAGGTAGGAATTAGGAAAGTAGAAAAGAAGAAGGCAGATAATAAGGCAGACATGAGTCTATATCTATCTAACAATAGAAGACACATGACCAAGGATAGTGCTGGGATGACTGGATATCCACATGCAACAGAATGAAGTTGGACTTCTTCCTCTTACCATACACAAAAAATAGAAAAGGATGTGAACAGACATTTCTTCAAAGAACATATTAAAAGTTGCTCAATATTACTAACTATCAAGAAATGCAAATGAAAACCACAATGAGATACCACTTCATACCTAAAAGGATGGATATAATAAAAAAAAGACAGATAATAACAAGCATTGGTGAGGATGTGGACAAACTGGAACACTCATACGCTGCTGGTGGGAATGTAAAATTGGTATAGTCACCTTGGAACATAGCCTGGCAGTTCCTGAAAAGGTTAAACATACCATAAAACAAACATGATAAACCATATGACCCAGCAATTTCACTCCTAGGTATATACCCAAGAGAAATGAAAACATGTCCACACAAAAACTTGTACACAATTGTCATTATTCACAACTGTCAAAAAGCAGAAACCCTATCAATTCTCAACCTTTTGGCTAACATCAAGTGTAAAGAGTAGAAACCCAAAAGCCCATCAATTGATGAATGGATAAATAAAATGTGGTATAACAATACGACAGAATTATTATTTGGCAACAAAAGGAATAAACTGCTGATACATGCTACAACATAAATGAACCCCAAAGCAGGGCGCAGTGGCTCATGCCTGTAATCCCAGCACCTTGTGAGGTCAAGGCGGGACCAGTCTGGAAAACATAGCAAGACCTCATCTCTAGAAAAAAATTTAAAAATAAAAGAATTAGCCAGGCACTGTTGTGCACGCGTCTGGTCCCAGCTACTCGGGAGGCTGAGGCAGGAGGATCACTTGAGCCTAGAAGTTTGAGGATGCATTGAACTATGATCATACCACTGCACTCCAGCCTGGGTAATAAAGTGAGACCCTATCTCAAAACAAAACAAAAAACCCCACAGATGAACTCTGAAAACGTTACACTAAGTATGAAGTCAGTTACAAAAGACCACATATTGTATGATTTCATATACATGAAATGTCCAAAATAGGTCTATTGTCTATACAAACAGAAAGTAGATTAATAGTTGCCTAGAGAGCTGCTCCAAAGGTAGTGACTGTTCAAGTCAATTACAGATAGAATTCCTTGTTCTACCCTTTCTCCACTTCTCATTCAGTACTGCACGTGACTTAAAAGAAAAAGGAAAAAAAAGTAGTTGCCTATGGATGGGGGTGTGGGGAGGAAGGTTGGGGAAAATCTGGAGTGACCACTGATGAATATATATGGGGTTTCTTTTTGGGGTGATGAAAATGTTCTAAAACTGATGTGATGATGGTTGTACAACTCTGACTATATTAAAACCTATTCAATTGTACCCTTTAAATGGGTGAATTATATGATATGTGAACTATATCTCAATAAAGCCTTTGCTAAGTTAAAGAGAGAGAGAGAGAGAGAGAGAGAGAGAGAGAAGAAAGGAGGTTGTGTAAAGAGCACAGGCTTTGAAATCACACATTTGATCTTTTTTTTTTTTTCTTTTTGAGACAGTCTCATTCTGTTGCCCTGGGTAGAGTGCAGTGGCGTCAAGCCTAGCTCACAGCAACCTCCAACTCCTGGGTTAAAGCCATCCTCCTGCCTCAGCCTCCTGAGTAGTTGGGACTACAGGCAAGTGGCATGACGCCCGGCTAATTTTTCCACTTTTAGTAGATACAGGGTATCACTCTCCATCAGGTTGGTCTTGAACCCCTGAACTCAAGTAATCCTCCTGCCTTGGCCTTCCAGAGTGTTAGGATTATGGTGTGAACCACTACTCCCGGCCCACAGACTTGATCTTGAAATGATACTGTGCCTTCCTGGCTGTTGAGTCCATGAGCAAATTATCTAACCTTTAAGCTTCAGTTTTTTCAGTATACTAAAATGGAGGAGAATATCTAGTTCCCTACAGAGTTGTTGTGAGCATAAAGTATTATTTAATGCTACATAATAGGTGCTCAAAAAAGCAGGTTTTCTTCCTCATTTTTTTCCATGGACTAAAACAATATCTCTTTACACTAGTGGTTCTTAAAATGTAGTCACCAGGCCAAGCATCACCCAGGCACTTGATAGAAATACAAATTCTGGCCGGGTGTAGTAGCTCACGCCTATAATCCTAGCACCTTGGGAGGCCAAGGCAGAAGGATCACTTGAGGCCAGTTTAAAACCAGCCACGTCAAGAGTGAAACTCCCGTGCCATGCGTGGTAGCATGCACCTGTAAGTTCCAGCTACTCCAGAAGCTGAGGCAGTAGGATCACTTGAGCCCATGAGTGTGAGGTTGCAGTGAGCTATGATGATGCCACTGCAATCTAGCCCTGGCGACGGAGCAAGATCCTGTCTCCAAAACAAATATAAATTCTCTAGTCCCACAAATAGTTATTTGTTTCATGGTGGGACTACAGGTATACACCATGACACCAGGCTAATTTGTTTATTTTTTGTAGGGGAGCGGGGAGGAGTGTTGCTACGTTGCCCAGGCTGGTCTCAAACTCTTGGCCTCAAGTGATCTTCCCACCTCAGTCTCCCAAGGTCCTGGGATTACAGGCGTGAGCCACCATCCCTGGCTGGTTTACTGTATCTCCTAATTGATTTTTCTTAGAAAACATTTATCAACACTCAAGCTTCCAAACGAAACAAGTAACTATTAATTAGTGTTAGCAGAAATACTAAAAAGTCAGAACTTTCCAATCCAAGTCTGAACTGGAAGCATCTGTCCCTCGCTCCACAACTGAACAACAAATGAGTACAAATAATTTAATATGATTTTATATCCAAAGTAGTTAGAATTTAAAGTTAGGGAAGAAAGAATTAAGAGTAAAGTTAAGGTATGTTCTGACACCTCTTTACTAATGTCAACACAGTGGATTAAAAAGGTTCTATGTTTATAACCCTTACACCTCAGGTAGCTGAAGTCAGTAAGAAATCAAATATGTTACTTGCATTACCATCCTTCAGATTTTTTCTATTTATATAAAAATGTAACTTTTTCTCTGGTTAAATAATTACATGGTCATAGTAAGAATTTGGAAACACAACTAATTTAAAAAAAAAAAACCTCAACAATTATTCAGAGATAATTAACACCTTTTTAAAAAAGTATTAAGTTTTACTTGAACTTAAAAGGAAACAAAACCGAAGTAAACAAAGAATTGCTTTTTTCCCGTGCTTGAAAAAGAAAAAAGATTAAAAAAACAAAGAATTGCTAAATTGTGGATAAATATTTCTTCCCAATAAGCTCCTAAAGGATTCCTCTTTAAAAATAAACAAAAGAAGAAATTAAAGAAAGGCATTCCGAAATTAGTATATTATGCTTTATTAACTCCATTTTTCTTAATGGGTTTATTTTTCTAGGCTATAATACTTGAGTCAATTGTCTCAGAAAACTAACTGACACACTCATATCTAAACAAATATATATATATATATATATGTTTTAAAACACAGTTCGAAACTTAAGTCTAGATTTAAGGTGATTCTCAAGAGATATAAAAAAAAAAGATCATCCCTAAGCCTAGTGTATACTAGAAAGTTAAACATCAATGGGGAAGGGGGACATTTCTGGGAGAACAGGTTTGGTTTTACTACTTCAAAAAGCACTGTTTCTTTTCCTCTATCAATCCCTCATAAATCACACTATATTTTGTAACTCTTTAAGAAATTATGCCCAAATGTGGTCCACAGATTGGCATTGACCTGGAAACTTGTCAAAAACACAAATCATCAGACCTTACCCTAGACCTACTGAATCAGAGGTCTGGTGGTAGTGCTTGGCCATCTGTGTTTTAAGAAGCCCTCAAGGTGAGACTGCACCCTTAAGTTTGATAACCATCAGTCTGGAATTTTTATTGGACCCTACTTGTCTAGCATCTTAACTAGTTTGAAGCAAATAATTATATTTCTTTTCCCTCAGTGTCATTAAGAACCTAAGTAATCCAGAGCTCAACATGAAGTACTCCGAGTAGGGAATCAATGAGAAACTACGCAGTACCACACGTATTAACCCTACTAGGAATCTTTTTTCCCGAATAATCACTGGAAGCTGAAAATAATGTGTACCTCATGCCATTTCTTGATTTTTTGTTTCTTTTGTTTTACTTTTTTGGCTAAGTGTAAAACCAGTATTTTATTTAAAGGAGAATATGCTGGCTCAGTGAGTACGTTGGATTTCCAAAATACCCCTCACAAACAGGACTTTTTCAAATTACCTTTTTATTTCCACAAGAGAAGAACAGAACAACTCTTTTCTCACATTTCTCTAAAGCTACACTGGTCTGATGCCCACCAGTTACATGTTTAACAGTTAGCGAACACTCAAAATGTGGCTAGCCCAAATTGTAATATGAAAGTGCAAAATACGCACTAAGATTTCAAAGATTTGCGCAAAAAAGGATAAACAGCTCATTAATAAATATTATATTGATTACGTGTTGAAATAATGGGTTAAATGTGTTTTTAAAAATTAATTTCACCTGTTTCTCTTCCCTTTTTTAAAAAAAGAGGCTACTAGAAAATTTAGAACAATATATGTAGCTCACACATCTATTTGATATTCTGGGTCCCACTGATGAGGAACTGCTGAGGACAGTGCTCAATGTAAGGTAAGGAATCATATAGCTCCTGGGATCCAAACCCACCTGGTACCTTTTAACTAGTCAGCAAAACCTTAGGGATCTTGATAAAATTGCTCAAACCATGCTCTTCTTAAAGTGGTAAAGTCTTTGTCCAAATATTAAACATTTACTGAACTCCTATTACACGAATGAACTTAGAAACACGGTAAGGGAAGAGATTTAAACGTGGGTAAAAGATTGGACACGAAAGGCCAGAAAAGGCAGGAATAAATGGTCCACCAATGCTAAGTGATGATCAGAAGGATCTCAATCAGTTCACAAAGTGCCAATAAGAAAGTAGCTGATATAAGTCCTGTTTTTAGCTCAAACCCATGTTTGCATAACAAACCCTCTTATGAATACTGCCTCCCAAAGGCGGAAGCCAGAATCACTTTCCCAACATCTCCTGCAGCTGGAGTGCAGGCATGTGACCGACCAAGGCTTCCCAAATTAGACACACTGCATGAAACTTGGACTCAGAAGGGAGCGACATGAAGCAGCAAGAACCATAGCCTCCATTTTCTGGTGAAAGTGGGAGAATGTGGCAGAAATGGAAGACAATGGCATAAGTCCCAATGACAGACTGTAGCAAGGTGAGGACCTATGCCCAAAGGTAGGACTGAAGGCCTCTACCAAAGCAGCCCAGCAATGTGACCTCAGTCCTGTTCTTGGCTGTGCAGCCTTCAAGGCCCATTCTCTAGCCCTCCCATAAATCCCCTGAACTAGTTACTATCTTTTAGTCAATTTTTCCTCAGTAAACAAGGGCGAGAGATTATCCGATATTTGTAACTAATAAAAACAAATGGATACAGAAAAAACCACACCTGACAACATATCGAGACCCCGGTCTCTACAAAACATAAAAAAGTTAGCCAGGTATGGCAGCACGTGCCTGTAGTCCCAGCTACTTGGGAGGCTGAGGTGGGAGCATCGCCTGAGCCCAGGAATTCAAGGCTGTAGTGAGCTATGATTGGGCCACTGCACTCTAGCCTGGGCAACAGAGCAAGACTCTGTCTCTAAAAAAATAAAATAAAATATTGATGGACACTTAGGTTGACTAAAAAATAAAATGAAAAAGTAGTTCACTTAATAAAAAAATTCACTCTCCCCCTTAGCACTCCATTTCTCCAGCCCAATTACTATTTTGGGCCTTATTATTAGTGTTTGAGAATCACTACATTCTACATACATTAAAAATTAGGGTGATACTAAATTGGTTTTGACACTCAATAATCTGTTAAACATCCTCCCCTGTTCATATGCATAGATGTACCTCATTCTTCAAGCTGTACAGGACAATACACTACAATTGTACCATTATATGCCATTTCTCTTACTGAAAGAGAGGCTTGTTTCCAGTGTTACTACTACAAGCAATGCAACAGTGACCATCCCTGTGTATACATGTATCTGTGAACACAAATGAAAACCCAAAGGTATACACACTTAACAAGTGACAAATATTGCCAAATTCACTTCCAATAGAATTACACTAATTTGTCCTTTCATACCCTGGCCCACCTGGGTGAAATCTTTACAAATGTTCTTCCATCTAATAAATATGATTATCTCATTTTAAGTTTGTTTTCATAATCACCAGTAGTATGAAGCATCATTTGGTATGCTTATTAGCACGATCTATATTTCTTCTTCCATTACCTGTTTACTTATATCCTTTGTCCATTTTTCCACTACTTTTGTTTTTTTTCCAGTTTATAAGAATTTGTGCATTAGAAATACTAGTTAGAAGCACTAGCTCAGGCTCAAATCAAAACAGCTTGAGTGCAAATGCCCCTTTTAGAATATGACTTAAAACTCTCTGTGCCTCACTTATTATTTTTAGTTTCAAAAATTATGCTTTTAAAGTAAGTATATTTAGGCATATAGAAGGGATCAAGAAATAAGGCAAAAAAGGTTCAAGTAGAAAAAAAAATTTTTTTAAAGGAAAAAACGAAGTTTCCTCTACCTAACAATGTGCATTAGGAGTTAATACCCTGTGTGGGGATGGGAACACACAAAAAGAGCAGCCTATTAAAGTTGGACAAAATATAGATCCATAGAAAAAATATATAATTCTTACTCAAAAGAGCACTGACAATTATTATTGAATTAATATATAACTTGCTGATCAAACTCATGTTCCATTAGCTCTAAGTACACAACATATGTTCACGTGTGTTTTAAACCTTTAGGTCTGAGGTTGCCCCAGGGAACTCCTTAATTCTGTATATCCTCCACTTCCTAGCTTAGAGTATCCTGAGAACTTCCCCCAAAGTTCTCCCCTACATGTACCTGTCACCCAATTCTGTCTCCTTACTCTCTTTTAGCAATTTCTCAGATTTAGTGTTTTCTTGATGGTATTCTTTTTTTCCGGCACTGTTAAGCATTTTTTTAAAAACTATCTTTTCAGTCACTTGGAATGGGGAAAATGTGTTCTTATGAGTCCACTATATTGAACCTATCTCATGGATTTATTATTATATTTACAGTTCTTCTTTCATTTACATGGGCTTTAGGAAAGAAGATGATAATGGGTGATCTCGATCAGTTATCTTGAACATAAAATCTCAAAGAACACTTTAAACCAAATTCCCAAACTCATTAATCTTATGAAAGAGGAGGTCCAAGCTGTAAATAACAGAATAATTTGAGCCTAAAAGTCAGCTTTCTTCTATCTACCTTTCCTGCACCCTAACTTCTTTACAAAGACTAGAATAAACAATGAATACATCCCTCTATGTGCCAGATGCTTTCTTGTCTGTATCTCATTCAATCTTACTAAATGGTATTATTTCTATTTGACAGATGAAGAAACTAGGGCTAAAAAGATTAATCATGTCAATAACTAAGTGGTCAAGTCAAATTTAAACCCAGGAATACAGCTTCAGAGCCCATGTCCTTCCAATACATCCACCTACAATTCTGAGGTGCAAAGGGGCCACAACCAAACCTTCTAACTCACTAGATACACTTCTCCACATGCTTGCCTCTCCAACATGTTCCACTCCCTTTCCTGTTCTCTTGGTGTAAAGCATCCAGAGTAAAATGAAACTCGACCATAACAGACAGTGGCAAGAAAACTGCATTTGTAACTGGAGGGCACTGTTGTTTCACATAAGGATTCCTAAGGAGGAAAACTTTTACCTTTTCAGCAAATGCACTAGTTTTTCCTCTTTTAGTAAGTTTATCATCAATTAGCATTATTTCTTATGGCTTATAAATAGCAAATGTAGACCTAGAAATCTATAGGTGACCTGAGTTATGGAATCACACAACTAAATGAAAATCACTAATATACATTAGCCTTTCCATTTTAAAGTAAGTTCCAAATGTCCTGCTATCAGTAAGGAGCAAAGACTGGCCCTCCTATGTTCTACACAAGATAACACAGAAGGGAAGCCTCAGTCACATGAAGCTATCACATCTAAATCCAATCCCAATTAGTCCACATTAACGATGAATGCCTTTATGTTAAATAAAAAATTTCAAGGATTCCCCTTGGTGAAAATAACCTCTAGTATCTGTAGAGATGTGATACTCCTACTAATCAAAACCCTGACAGCAAATAAAGCATATTAAATAGACTGAACCTCAGTGTTTCCCTTTTACCTGAACCTGCTGTGGCTGCTGAACCTGGATCTGCTGTTCTTGCTGAGTTTGTGGCTGAACACTGGTGGTGACTGGACAGGCAAGTTCAAGCAAAGACCCAGCCACTTCAGTGCTGTCTGTGTAAATGCAGTTCCCACCCTGTTGGTACACCATGGTAGTGGTGGCTGTCTGCTGAAACTCCTGAAGGGCTTCTGGCCCTTTAGAGGCCAATGAGTCCAGAAACTCCTTCATCCTGTGTTGTGGGACAGATCGTGCCTTCACTCGGATGTACTCTTCAAAGGAGATGGTGTTCTCCAGAGAATTATTCATATTGCAGAGTCCTTAGGGTACCTAGAAATAAACGCACAGAAGTCAAAATTATACTATTGTTTTTACATCATGAAATGCATAAAAGCAATCACCCTTGCATCAGATTGAACTATTCAGGGCAGCTGTATACATCCAGAATCCAAAAGTTTTATTATACTACCTTAATTTTTCAGTTAATGGTGTTTGAAAATTAATTCCATTAACACTTTTTTTTTTTTTTTTTTTGAGATGGAGTCTCGCGCTGTCACCCTGAGCTAGAGTGCAGTGGTGTCATCGTAGTGCACTGCAACCTCAAACTCCTGGGCTCAAGCGATCTTCTTGCCTCAGCCTCCTGAGTAGCTGGGAATACAGGCACGTGCCGACACCTATTTTTAGTAGAGACAGGGTTTCATTCTTGCTCAGGCTAGTCTTGAACTCCTGAGCTAAGCGATCCACCCACCTCAGCCTCCCAGAGTGCTAGGATTACAGGCATGAGCCACTGCGCCCAGCCCATTAACGCTTTTTTTTTTTTTTGAGACAGAGTCTCACTGTGTTGCCCGGGCTAGAGTCCCGTGGCGTCAGCCTAGCTCACAGCAACCTCAAACTCCTGGGCTCAAGCGATCCTTCTGCCTCAGCCTCCCGAGTAGCTGGGACTACAGGCATGCGCCACCATGCCTGGCTAATTTTTTCTATATATTTTTAGTTGTCCAATTAATTTCTTTCTATTTTTTAGTAGAGACGGGGTCTCGCTCTTGCTCAGGCTGGTTTCGAACTCCTGAGCTCAAACAATCCGCCCGCCTCGGCCTCCCAGAGAGCTAGGATTACAGGCGTGCCCCATTAACGCTTCTTAAATCAAACTGTATCACACTGAAAACAAAAACCAAAAGCATGCTTCACAATATTAGATGAAACAGGCTAAAAACACACTTCCCACCCAGCACTAGGCCAATCCCGCCTTCTTTGCAGAGCCAAACACTGGACATTCAATGTCACATGCAAAACTGCCCTGTGACCATCACAGAGAGTACTATCAAGCAAGGAGGAGGAAGCTAGGAGCAGGGATTCCTACTGTCATGTTTTATTTCCATCGCCAAGTACGTGCTACAGAGGAGAGACAGGTATGCCACCTACCTTTGGCAAAACTCAAGAGACAGGGGATATGTTCTTCATTTCCCATCAGAAATACCCCAAATCCCACTTTGCCATATATTGCTCACATTCTTTTGTAGCACAGCCTACTGGTTAAGAGCATGGAATATGGTGCCAAACTACCTGGGTTCAAATCCCAACTCCATCTCTTTTTAGCTATATAACTCTGGACAAGTCAGTTAATCTTTGTCTTCTTGTCTATAAAACGGGGATATAATAGTACTTACCTCAGAATTAATAGAGGATTAAATACATGTAAAGCACTTAGAAAAGTACCTGACATGTAGACAGCACTAAATAAATGTAACAAATATTATTAAAATAACTGGGAGGAAAAAGCTGAATAGTGCCTTAAATAACTAGGTCACTACCAAACTTCAGAAACCAAATTCTGCAAGTTTTTCATCAGGTATTTATTTATCTTTTTTTTTTAACTAGTAATCAATTTATTAAAACAGTTGACTTAAGCATCTGCAATGGTGACTTCAACCTCAACTCCTGGTTCAATAGTCACAGAAGTAATCTGCTTAACGATCTCAGGAGGACTATGCAAGTCAATGAGTCGCTTGCGGATTCTTATCTGGAAGCGGTCCCAAGTCTTAGAACCTTCACCACAAGGAGTTTTTCTCGTAGTGATTCTCAAAGTCTTGGCAGGCACCAAACTGGTCCTTTTACTTTGAGGTTCTTTTCCTTTGGGCCTCTGATCAAGTCAGCACACACCTTCTCCAGGGACTTTACGTTGCAGCTGGTTAGCGCAATTCTAATTTGGTGAATCGCCACCTCTGGCTCCATGGGTGTTTTTCCCGCATCTTTAAGAGCAAAGAGCGGTGAGTCAGGAGTAGAAGTGGGCACAACACGGCTGTGCTGCAGTTGTGACCGCATCTTCCTCGAAAAAAGACTATTTATCTTAAGTATTAACCTGCAAAAGTGGACAGTAACTCTCAATTACCTGGACAACAATTGCGTAATCTCTGGACTGTTGAGTGCCCTACTGTTGCTACCTTTGTATCATCCTCCCTTGATCAGCACCTCCTCCGGAATAAAAGCAGCAGCAGCAGGATGAAAGAGTACCACAAATCAAGTGAACCTTTTTGCCAAAAAGTATTCTCAGTTAATCTCAAATGTCTAGAAAAGTGATTTGTTTCCTTGAGCCATCAGGTTAGAAATACTAGTCTTTCTTTCACTGCCGGATGTTGTGCCTTATGCAACAGATATAAGCTATGTGGGTAATCATCTCCTTTCTCCCACCTGGCTCTAAACTCCTGGCGGACAAGACTGTGTCCTGGCCTTCTCTAAATAGCTCACACATGGTAAATGCTTCCTATCTACCTGTTACATTTGAAATTCAATGTGGAACAGGAAGAATTATGACTGTTTCTATAACATCTATAACTTACAACCATGAATTGTTACAACCATAAATCATACAACCTAGTAATACACATATACAGGACTTTTCCTTAGTAAATGGTAAATATACACTTTGGGAAAAAACCTACATATCCATGGCAAGAGTTAAACCAAATAAAAAAATATGGTCCTTATTGCTATTATTAATTTATTGACATTGGCACTATTTCTGTGGGGCACTGTGTAAGTATAGTGTAAAATTATACTCAGGTGCTTTCAAAAAAAATAGATCCAACAATGAATCTCATAATTATAACAATGCATATGATATATTGTGAATGTATTTCTCCATAAATAAAGAACACCATATATACCTTATCTTGTCCAAAATCAGAATTTCCAGACCACTACCCTTAGGAGAGCCTTCACTTCTCAGGAAACCCCAAGCACAATGGAGTGCAGTGAACAGCTAGTGCAGGTCAAAGGAGGGGCAGGATGGCGGAGGGGTGTACAAGTGCTGCTGCTGGCCTCTTATCTTCTGAAACTTGATATTCTTGCTCCTTTCCCACATCTCTTAACCATCTCCCTTTGCCCAGCTCTCCTTTTCTAGCTCCTGCAGTTATCTTCTTGTAAAGTAAAAAATTGGAAGGTCTACTACAAGACTTTAAAAATTAAGTTATCAGCTGGGTGCAGTGGCATGCACCTGTAGTCCCAGATACTCCAGAGGCTGAGGCTAAAGAACGGCTTAAGCCCAAGAGTCAAGAGGCCAGCCTGGACAACAAAGCAAGACCCCTATCTCTGAAAAAAATAAATATAATTAAAAAAATTATGTTACCAATGACAACCATGGCACACATAAGGAGAGCATCAAAGCCAAGCATACTGTCCTTCTTTACAGATTCAGAGGCGGCTACTTGCTGTGGGTGACCCATGAGGACTACTTGCAAACAAAGTATCAAAAGTTAAAAAGTATCCCGTTTTAACAGTGTCACAGCTGGAATTTCCTTAAGAAGATATCTCCTATAATAAAGACCCTATAACATTACAAAGTTCTCGACATGTGACTTTTTTTTTTAATAATTTTTTTTTTTTTTTGAGACAGAGTCTCACTCTGTTGTCTGAGCTGGAGTGGTGTCAGCCTAGCTCACAGCAACTTCTCGCTCCTGGGCTCAAGTGATCTCCTGCCTCAGCCTCCCGAGTAGCTGGGACTACAGGCACATGCCACCATGCCCGGCTAATTTTTTCTATTTTTAGTTGTTTGGCTAATTTCTTTCTATTTATAGTAGAGACGGGGTCTTGCTCTTGCTCAGGCTGGTCTGGAACTCCTGAGCTCAAGCAATCCTCCTGCCTCGCCCTCCCAGAGTGCTAGGATTACAGGCATGAGCCACCGGGCCGGCCTCGACATGTGACTTTTTCAAACTCCTAGGCTTAAGCAACCCTCCTGCCTCAGCCTCTGCAGTAGTCTCACTCTTGCTCAGGCTGGTCTCAAACTCCTGGCCTCAAGCAATCCTCCTGCCTTGGCCTTTCAAAGTGCTAGTATTAGGCATGAGCCACTGCTCTGTCCTCAACATGTGACTTTAATATCTAAAATTAGGAGGGTATATATCATATATACCCTTCTGCTCAAAAGGGGATAAAGGAGAGATTATATGAGCAGCCATTAACAGGTCCTCTATGATGCTGGTATATATTTCAGTTTTTCACCTCCATTATAAATAAATAAATAAATAAAAACATATATTTTTTTAAACCAGAGGTCAATTGAAATTTACATTTCCTAAAATGTATTTTCTTGAACAATTAGTTGCATTCACATAAAGTACCAATACTCCGTGAATTTTCAAGCCTGCCTGTGGAAAGCAATTTTTAAAAAAAATACAAAAGTAAAGTTTTTTTTGTTTTTTGTTTTTTTGAGACAGGGTCTTTGTCACCCGGGCTACAGTGCAGTGGCACCATCATGGCTCACTACGACCTCAAACTCCCGGGCTCAAGCCATCCTCCTGCCTCAGCCTCCCAAGTAGCAGGGACTATAGTACAGGCTCATGCTACCATGCCCAGCTAATTTTTTAAATTTTTTATAGAGACATGGTCTGGCTACGGTGCTCAGGCTAGTGTCGAACTCCTGGCCTCAAGCAATCCTCTTGCCTTCACCTCCCAAAGTGCTAGGATTACAGGTGTGAGCTACTGTACCTAGCCATAAAAAAGTTTTTATATGCAGCAAAAAATTTTTGTCTCAAATCTTTGAGAAGATAAATATGAGTAAACACCAATACAAAGAAACACTGCAAACTTTGAGTTTACAGAACTGGAAAATCTTCATATGAGTACTGCTCAGAAAAGCTAGTCCCTAGGATCCTCCTAGTAACCTTATTTCCCTGCTCACTCTTTCAATTTTCAAAAATTCAGGAGGGGAGTTTAAGCCTCACCCCAAGTATGATATTAAGTATGAAGCAGAATTTCACCAACTTTTCTTCCTAGAAACAAGCTTTCTTCAGTGCAGAATTCCACCTAGTTTTTGTGGGGGTTTTTTGTTGTTGTTGTTG